CAGCCACAGCCTCCCTGTGCTCAGGTCTGGCTTTTGTCAGAGAGGGAGGTGACAAATGGGGAAATAGGAAGGGCCCGGAAACAAGGGCCCACCTGTCCCTGCTGCTGGTCTAGGAATGTGCCCCTTCCCAGTGACACACACCTCCTGCTCTGCCCCTGGCTGAGAGATAAGGGTTATCTCTGCCTGCCCCAGCTGCTGCTCACCCACCATCAAGGTGGGTATGTCAGGGGTGTGTGTGGGGAGCCCCTCTGAGGCTCCTCCTGTCCTGCCCCGATCACAGGTGGTACCCGAGGAGCTGCTCAGGTCCATGGCTGGGTGGGAGCTGCACACAAGCCCTCAGGAGCCTCTCTTGAGCAGAGGGGGCACGTGTGGCTCTGCAAGGCTCCCTGCAGGCCTGGCATTTAATCGGTGTGCACTGGGAAATGGTGCCCAAGCCAGGAGCCCAAGGGACCTTCAGGACACATGGAGCATGACAGGAATGTGCTGCATCCTGCTGCTTGATACGGGGCCTGTGCCTTGGGAATGCTGCCCTTATCTGTCCTGCTCTCACCCAGCCCCAGGCTGACCCTATCATTTTGCCATCCCCTGTCTCTGCTGTAATCTCAGGCAGGATGGTGTTTGCTCGGGGCTGTTTCTGAGGCACTGGGTATTGTCCTCTCAAGCACATTGGACAAAGTGATGACAAGGACCTGGTAAAAAAGGGTTCTTATATCACTGCTCAGCTATGCCGGGCACTGGCGGCCTCCTGTCACTGGGACACTTGTGCTTTCAGTTGGGGTCTGGCACTTTCTGCTCACCCTGCCAGAGGTGATTAGAGGAACACGTCAGCTGAACTTTCCACTGTGTAAACAGTCGAGATTCCAAGGTTAAAGTAAAATGATTTTAAACCCTGTCATCTTTCTGGTATTGCAAAAACAAAAGGCTTAACGTCCAGAAGTGCCAGCGCTCATCTCTGCTCTGTGTTCAGCTCCTCACCCCAAACCATCAGCACCACAAGTCACCTCTGACTCTGAAAAGCAGCTGGAGGTTCCTTCAGCCTGGGGCTTCTGCAGAAACCTGAGGGCTGGGATTGTGTTCCTGGTGCAGGTGCATCACCTCAGCACCCAACAGTACCAAGCAAACTCATTTGACCCTCACGTGCTGCACGTTTCACCCTAAATGGGGTAAAACTGGCTTACAGGACACATTTTTTTCCCCAGCAACGTGACAGAAGGTCATTGCAAAAGGGAGACATTTAAAATTGAGCAAATTGTTTTCAGCCAGACTTTCTAAAGATTTTGTCCTGTAAGTCTCTGTTTACCACAAGCTCCTGACAAGGCAGCTGGAGAGAAACTCTGTTTGAACTTCAGGAACACTTGCCCAGCCTCCAAACCTCAGCTCCAGTGGATAAAATCATGCTCAGGCTGCCTTGAATGTTTATAAAGGGGGGGATTTTTTTTACACTTTTTGGCTTCTTTTTTTTTCCTTTTAAATTTTCCACTCTCCTTTCCTTCGATAAGTGGCCGGGGACATTTTTACTTGAACTCTCCTTAAAAATTCCTCTTCAGACAGAGTCCTGGAACATTTCACCTTCAAAGGCAAGAGCTGTGAAATGCTGGAAAGGGAGCAGCTCAAGGACCAGCCTGGAGAAGCTGCAGGACAAACACTGTGAGCTCTTCACAGAGGAAAAACCAAGAGCAGGAACAATGGCAGGGCAGGGTATCACAGCCTGGAATATTTCATGTCATTTATGCTGGTATCTGAGGTGCAATGAAAGTCCAAGTGCTTCCTGTCCCATTCCCATTTTCAACATTGCTCTTGCCATTCAAAGCCCCCTCCTCTCCCCAAGCCCTGCCACTGTCCCCAGCTTGCTCTGAGCCCCAGGAGAAGCCCTTCAAATGGCATTATGCCAGTGGAAATCATCTCATGAATTGAGGAACCAGGAGCAATAGAACAAGGACTTCTCAGGGGGCAAAGCATCTCTCACTTGAGACCCAAAGGACAATCTGGACATGCATAGATGGCCCCAAGCTTCAAAAATGCAAGCTGCTGTCCTGGCACCACAGGACCTTGCTGGCTTTCCTGCTCCTTTCTCTTCCTTTGGGCCTCCTTGTCCTGGCACTGGGGCCTGAGTCAAAATCTGAGTCACCTCTTTGCTTTGTGTTGGCTCCCACACTGGCCTCCCTGCAGCAGCACAGGGGAAGTACTTGTGGAGGATTCTGCCTCCCTCCTCCAGCTGGGGGTGGGTGATGGAGGAAAACCCAGCTTAAGCTAGGTACTGGCTGGGAGGAGTGTTCCCTGCTTTGGGAATACTGCTCCCCATATTGCCCAGCAGTCTGGCACCCCAGGGATGATTCCCCTTTCCCAGCCAGGCAGCACCCTGCTCTGTTGGGCCACTAAACACTGGTGGAAGAAAAGGAGCCTGGGGCCACTTCACCTCCACATACTGGGATGTAGAACTTGGCAGGGCACAAGTTGGAGAATCCCAAATGGCCTCCCAACCACACGAGTGCAGCCAGGTCCTCTCCCACTCAAGGGAGGAAGGACTGTGCTGGCTCCAGCAGTATTTTGTGCACTCCAAGCCTTTGGGAAGGAAGGGGTTTACCAAGGGAGGTTCTTTCTGAGGAGACATGGCTGGACAATTGTGCATGTTGCCATGGCCATTGCTCAAGGAGCTCTCTTCTCACAGGCCTGGACATCAAAGCACAGGCTGTGCTGGACTGGGCTGCTGAAAATAATTAAATCTAAGCAATAAATGCAGCTCTTTAACTCCAGGTTGGTCACTGCCTGCAGCCCCTGTGGTGTGTCCTGGTCACTTGGCCAGCCCCTGCCCTGTGCCACCCACACAACACCCATGTACCTTTTATGGCCTCTTTCACAGCTGAGTCCACAGGAATAATATTCTTCTCCACCAGCTCCAGAGGACCTGGCCTGAGAGCAATCTTCTCATTGAGATCATCTGCCAGTCGGGCTCTTTTCAGCTTCATCTGGGTAGACTGAATGGACCCCTCTGCAGCTGAGTCTAGAAGGCCAAAGGGAAGGCATCAGTTGGGGACCTGGGGCATCTGTAAGCACAGTGATGGGTGAGAACATGTTCCCACCCCAGCACAGCCTTTCTGGGCTGTGGCAAACACCTGTGCACTGCTCAGAGCACAGCCAGAGGTGCCCTGAGGCTGAGAGGCAGCAGCAGGTTGGATTAGACAGGGCTGGTGGGCTTGGGACACGGGTCATCCTCTGGACCTTCTGGGACATAAGTCCAGCTTCTTTCTCCCTTCCCAAGTGGGAACCTCTGTTTACCAGCCTAGGTTTGGAAACCCAGCCTGCAGCTGGAGCATCTCCCCTCTGAGGCCCTGGAATGACCTGCAGTGGAAATTTCATTAAAAGCTGTCACTACTGTGAGGGTCCAAGTGGACTCTGGCTCCCACCTGCTGGGAGCCCCTTGGCCCTTGTGTTCCCTACTTCTGAGGAACAGCTGGAAAAAAGAACCTTTAACAGTGTTTGACACCTGGAGTGAAAGCCTTACACTGGAAGGTGGAAAGCTGAGTCTTTGGGAGCAGGTATTTGGAAGTGGAATGACTATGGTGCTCCAGGCCTCCAGGGGAAATAATGAAAGAGTGGAGAGGAGCACAACAAAGGCAGCAAGATCTGGAAGCTACAGCCCTACCAAACTCAGCTGAGAATTTAGATGATACAAGGTGTCTTGGCTGGCCAAAGGAAATAATCTGCAGGTCCTGCTATGACCCAAAGGGACATGTAAGTCCATGACATGCCAGGGAACACCTCCGTGTGTGTGCAGGGCCCACCACACAGCCAGACCTCCTGCTCTTCTCCAGCTGTGTCTCTCTGGCCCTCTCCATGCCTGGTGACTGCAGCTGGCTCCACATCTGGCTCACAGGCCCCAGCTCCAGTCCATATTGCTTCTATTATTTAACCTAAGGGGAAGACACTTCCCACCTGTTAACTGGGCAGTGGTGCTTGCTCCTCTGAGGGATGGAGAGCCAAGGGCAAAGCCAGCACTGACCCAGCACAGCCCCTGGCTCAGCCCTCCTGCCTGCCAGAGGGAAAACAAGCAGGGACCTCATGCTGAGAGCAGAAGCCAGCACTTAGTGTTGCCAGGGAGTGACTTGCCTCTTCCAGGGGACTGGCAGGACTTGGGGAGAGAGGCTGCACATCCTCCCTTTTCCCAAGGAGCTGGTTATCTCTGGAGATAAGAGGGACACTGCAGGTTCTGCTCCCTGTGACAGGGTGCAGCAGAGTAGTGCCAGCTCTCTCCTGGGAGGGGACACCAGGACAGGAGAGGGGACAGTGGCTGTGGCTTAGGGACTGATGGCAGGGCTCACCCTTTCATGTGGATGTGCTTCACAACCAAGTGTCACATAAAACACCAAGGATTAAGGAAAACCAAAAGATGTCCAGCACTGGGAGGGCACTGCAGCCACCTGATTTCAGTGCCCTGGACAATGAATGCCCCAGTTACAAGGATCAGACCTCAGCACTTCTGTCACTGAGTTGTCTCTCACAGCTGTTTTCTACCCCACTGTCCTCTAGAGCATCTTATACGTGTCCCTGCCAGAGTTGGGACAAAAATTACATGGCCTTGGGTCTCCTGTCAGGGAATAAGTGTGTGTCCTGCCTCCTGAAGACAAGCTCTGGACTGAATTCCATCCAACACATGTCCCATTTGAACCTGCCTCTCCTGAGCAGCTGGGGCAAAGCTCATCATGATGAGAGTCCTGAAGGGAACCCAAGTGGGGCAGGAGAAATGTGACCCACAAGGCAGGAGACACAAGGAGTATGTGGAGCAGCTCAGGCAGCCTTACCTTGTAAAATGTGCATATTGACCAGGTCTGCTCGCTCAGGCCTGCTCCTGACCTTGTGCTTGAGATAATCTTCAGTCTGCAGAACACAAACACAGAGAGTGGTACCTGGCTAGAGCAGCACCCAGGGACAGAGAGTGGCTGTCCCTGTGCCTGTGGTTCTTTTGGATTTATTGCAAACTGGGCTGAGGGAGCTCCTCAATGGCTTTTTTTTTTTTTCACTCAGACTCCAGCTTGTTCTTGGACAGGATCACAGAATCCCAGAATCCCAGGGGTTGGGAAGGGACCTGGAAAGATCCCCCAGCCCAACCCCCCTGCCAGAGCAGGGGCACCCAGAGCACATCACACAGGATCCAGGGGGGTTGGAATGTCTCCAGAGAAGGAGACTCCACAGCCTCTCTGGGCAGCCTGGCCCAGGGCTCTGGCACTCTCACAGCAAAGAAGTTCTTCCTGAGATTCCCATGGAACCTCCTGTGCTCCAGTTTGTACCCACTGCCCCTTGTCCTGTCACTGGACATCACTGCACAAAGCCTGGCTCTGCCCTCCTGATACTGCCCTGAACAGATTTGTGCCCATGGATGAGGTGGCCCCTCAGTCTCCTCTTCTCCAAGCCCAACAGACTCAGCTCCCTCAGCCTTTCCTGAAGTTCTTCAGAAAGGGAACAATGTGTGTTGATGTTGAGCTGATGATTGCTCACTATCCCCACCCCAAAGCTGTCCCCTTTCCAGTTTTCCTTGGGTTTCTTATGCCTGCAGTTTTACAAGAAAGAGCTGATGGGAAGAAGGAGACCTGTTCACTGGGGGCACTGGATCTGCTCCTAGCTTAGCACCCCATGTTGCCTTGGAGAGCTGCACCAGGGTAGCTCCAGAGCTAACTCATGGAGATACCCAGATGTGAAAATCCACTTTGCAGGTCCCTGCAGCTGTGCTTGTGATGAACATGGCCCTGAAGCCTTGTGCCAGCTTCCTCACAGCTTGAGGAACAGAAAAGCATGCAGAGGGACAATCATACCTTCCATTAGGGCCAAGAAAATCAGTGTTGAGGGCAGTTGGCCCCAAGAATACAAATATAACCTGAACCCCTGGTGAAGAAAAGCTAGAGCATGACAGAGACAAATCATCAGCCATCTGCTAATTTGAGATGCAAGAAGAAATAGTACAAAAAATGTACATAGTTCAAAGAGGTTAAACTCTTAAGGGTAAATATTAAATAATAGCACAAGCAGCTGGAGCTAAACTGGAAAATCCACAGTACAAAGTGTACAGGATCATGAGAAAAAGATTTTATAAGCACTTCTGTATCCAGGAGAAGGCAATGGAAAGTGCTGTCTTGTGTTCCATAAACAGGAGAAGTAGCTGTGGATGCTGCTGAGATGGCTACATGACTTAATGCCTTTTTAAACCATCTTCACTAAAAAGAGAAATGACCATTTATCAATCAGATGAGCAAGTAAAGAACCTTCAGCAACAAAAGAGAAGAAACTCCAGTTATCAGGTTGGAGACCAGGGTGGAGAATGCTCAGAGGATTTGAATGTTCCCAGTTTGAGCTACACAAGGCTAGAATAACAGCAGCTCCTGTGGGTCTCCAGGAAACTGGGCAATAGTGAGGATAATTTCTTGCTTTAAAAGAGCCAGAGAGAAGAAACCAGGAAATTATAAACCAGTTAGGAAGATGTTGGACCAAGTAATCAAACAACCTATATAAATGGATTTTGAAGATAGCAAGGAGTTGAGTAAGAGCCAAGATGGATTCATCAAGACCAAACCACATCACACCAACCTGATTGCCTTCTAAGGAGAGGTGACAGATTCCTGGTGCAGGAATGAGCAATGAATGTCATGTAGCTCGACTTTAAGCATGTTTTGACATTATCTTACATGGCTTTCTCATATGCAAGCCAGAGAAAATTGGTCTGGATAAGACTAACCTAAAAAAGGAGCATAGCTGTGGGTCACCAGAGGAATTCAGAACAGCTCACAGTCTAAACAGAAGAATATATCAAGTCATGTTACACAGCAATTTTTCCTACTAGTCAATAGATTCATTAATGCCTCGGATGATACAAGACATACTCCCTAACTCTGAATCATTCAGGGCTAAGAGATTACAAGGCAACATGATTTGGAGTAATTGAAGAAATGATCTGAAATACATTTGACACAGCTTGAGGAAGGACATTTGGAAAGGGCTGCACTCAGGTCCCAGGGAGCCCCAGCTAAGGCAGCTGACCCAGCACTGGGGTGGACCAAGGCTTAACCCACTGGACAGTGGCCTTAGCAGAAATTGGTTACTGCATAAATAGAGGAAAAAACAGAAAAAGCTCTGAAAAATCTAGTGACCAGCAGCTGAAACAGCCCCAGACCAGCAGGCAGCTTTCTAGGAGCCACAGTGAAGAATGATGGACCCCGGGAATAGCCAGGCCAGGTTCTGCCCCCTGTGTCTGCAAGGGTGGAGGGGAAGGGGCTGGAGAACAGCTACAGAAACCACAGGCTGGTCAGTTCAGAGGTGAGATGGCTGTGGGGACACAGGCAGCAAAATGCTTTTACAGGTGCTACAAGGAAAAAGTTCAGCACGTGCATGTATGTGGGAGAGAGGCCGAAGGGCTCAAACTGCAGCTGAAAAGCTTGGGCTGGGAACCAGGGGACATTTGCTGGGAGCACAGGTTGGAAAGCACAGGAGCAGGGGAGGGGATGTCCCTCTGGGCTCACACATCTGCCAGGAATGACCCAGATGGGGCTGTTTTGCTGGGGGGCAGGGGCAGGAGAGCCGTGCCCTGCAGTCCCTGCCTGCTGGGCTCACTGGGAGGAGGTGCTGGAGCCCCCACGAACCTGACAGGCTCCATCCCCCAACCCAGACATCTGTGACAGGACATTGACTTCAAAGCCTGCTGCCCTGGCCTGATGCCAGCCTCAAGCATGGCCAGTGACATGTTTAAACAAATATTGGACATTTTATTTACTGAAGTCTTTAGAATTTCTCACGCTTCCCCCCCATTTTTTTTTTTCCTCAGCCTGTTTGCACCAGGTTGATCCCTTGGTTGGACCCTGGGTAGGTTTGCCTGGTTCCTGTGCCAGCTCAGCTGGTGCCTGCACCTGAGGGCAGTTCAAGGCACTGGATGCATTTCCAGCCAACCCTCAGATCAGGTCCAGACTTGGCCTCAGCTTGAAATGCTGACCTGCAGGTGTGGCACTGGTCATGTTGAACCCAGCACTAACACTGTGTTTACCTGACTTTTTGCTCTGATTTCTGTTCATAGAATCATGAAATCATTAAGGTTGGAAGGGACCTTAAAGATCATCAAGCTCCCACCCCCCTGCCATGAGCAGGGAACCACTAGACCAGGTTGCACAAAACCTCACCCAACCTGGCGTTAAAAACCTCCAGGGCTGGGGCATCAACAACCTCCCTGGGCAACCCATCCCAGTTCCTCACCACCCTCAGAGTGAAGAATTTCTTCCTAATATCTAACCTGTTTTTTCTGACCTATTTATAAGCTGCACTTGTGTCACTGGGGTGCAAATGGTGGAGAAAGACCTCAGATCTGGGGTTTCTTTAGAATGAGCTGAAGCAGAACAGCTTTCAAAACACATGAAAGTGGCTACAGTTATCTGCTTTCTGTTTGCAGAACATTAGTTTGGAGGAATATCAGCCAAACAACAAATGCCTTTGAGTAATTAGCCAGAAACAGCTGCTGCTCCTGCCCTGTCACAACTCTAAGCAGGGTATTCTTGCAAAGGAGTGTAAGTTTGTTAGGGGCCGTGCTCATTAGTGTCTTCATTAGCAGACTCCAACAATGCACACAGTTTGGGTTAGACCAGACCATCCTTCCCTTTTCCCCAGGCAACTAGCCAGTGGAAGCCTTTGAAGAGAAAGACAGAGACCCAAATGTATACTTTAACTGTAAAATATATGACACTTCAAGGATACTTTGGATTGCTTGAAATTTTGTAAGCACACTCATTTCTCAGAGTTATATTCTGTTTCTTACACTAGCCATTTATTACCACAGGAGACTCAGGGCAAGTAATTTGGAGTGTGTTTAAGTTCAGAAGAGAACTTCTCCACATTTCACAGTCATTCTTCCTTGCAAAGGTCCTTTCTCCACGTGGGTGCAAGCACGTTTTGCAGATTTATGGAACAAACTCTTGTGTTCAAGCAAAACCTGCACGACTGATTGTTCCCTTTTTTTTGTGGACGGTGCCTGCACCTGAGGGCAGTTCAAGGCACTGGATGCATTTCCAGCCAACCCTCAGATCAGGTCCAGACTTGGCCTCAGCTTGAAATGCTGACCTGCAGGTGTGGCACTGGTCATGTTGAACCCAGCACTAACACTGTGTTTACCTGACTTTTTGCTCTGATTTCTGTTCATAGAATCATGAAATCATTAAGGTTGGAAGGGACCTTAAAGATCATCAAGCTCCCACCCCCCTGCCATGAGCAGGGAACCACTAGACCAGGTTGCACAAAACCTCATCCAACCTGGCCTTAAAAACCTCCGGGGATGGGGCATCAACAACCTCCCTGGGCAACCCATCCCAGTTCCTCACCACCCTCAGAGTGAAGAATTTCTTCCTAATATCTAACCTGTTTTTTCTGACCTATTTATAAGCTGCACTTGTGTCACTGGGGTGCAAATGGTGGAGAAAGACCTCAGATCTGGGGTTTCTTTAGAATGAGCTGAAGCAGAACAGCTTTCAAAACACATGAAAGTGGCTACAGTTATCTGCTTTCTGTTTGCAGAACATTAGTTTGGAGGAATATCAGCCAAACAACAAATGCCTTTGAGTAATTAGCCAGAAACAGCTGCTGCTCCTGCCCTGTCACAACTCTAAGCAGGGTATTCTTGCAAAGGAGTGTAAGTTTGTTAGGGGCTGTGCTCATTAGTGTCTTCATTAGCAGACTCCAACAATGCACACAGTTTGGGTTAGACCAGACCATCCTTCCCTTTTCCCCAGGCAACTAGCCAGTGGAAGCCTTTGAAGAGAAAGACAGAGACCCAAATGTATACTTTAACTGTAAAATATATGACACTTCAAGGATACTTTGGATTGCTTGAAATTTTGTAAGCACACTCATTTCTCAGAGTTATATTCTGTTTCTTACACTAGCCATTTATTACCACAGGAGACTCAGGGCAAGTAATTTGGAGTGTGTTTAAGTTCAGAAGAGAACTTCTCCACATTTCACAGTCATTCTTCCTTGCAAAGGTCCTTTCTCCACGTGGGTGCAAGCACGTTTTGCAGATTTATGGAACAAACTCTTGTGTTCAAGCAAAACCTGCACGACTGATTGTTCCCTTTTTTTTGTGGACATCCCCCCAGCTTGGCCAAAGCTGGATGGTGGGTGCTTGGAAAACTGGTGTGATTTCCCAAAAAGTGATGATGTCAGAGTTCTGATGTGTTCTGGAAATGGCTACTTAACTTATCTCTGCCTTCAGCAATCTGTAGGGAAGCCTGAGTGCAGTGAGATAAAGGAGCCAGGGAGAGCCTGGCCCACTTAGCCCCTTGGATGGGCTGGGTGGTAATGGCCAGGCTGCTCTGGGGGTTAAAGAAAGGAGCTCTGATGGGGACTGGTGGTGAGGGGCACCTCCTTTCCTCCTGCACACTTGCTGAAGTTAGGTTCCCTCAGGCCTGTTTGCTGCTGGCCATGCCAAGGGCACTTGTATGAGGTTCAACAAGGTTCAGTGCTGGGTCCTGCACTTGGGTCACAACAACCCCAGGCAACGCTCCAGGCTTGGGGAAGAGGGGCTGGAAAGTGCCCAGAGGAAAAGGACCTGGGGGTGTTGATTGACAGTGGCTGAATATGAGCCAGGGTGTGCCCAGGTGGCCAAGAAGGCCACCAGCATCCTGGCTTGTACCAGCACTGGGGTGGCCAGCAGGAGCAGGGCAGGGATCATCCCCCTGTGCTGGGCACTGGGGAGGGGGCACCTGGAATCCTGGGGTCAGTTCTGGGCCCTCATGACAAGAAGGACATGGAGGGGCTGGATTTGATGATCTTAAGGGTCTTTTCCAACCAAAAGGATTCCTGATTCTATGCTCTAACCCCACTGACTTGAGCAGGAAGGGAGAGCAGCAGCAGAGTGAGGAGTCAGCTGTGCACCCAGCCTGGAGAGGGAAACAGCTCTTCAGCTGGATAGACATTTACTGGAAGGGCTGACAGTGCCAGTGCCCTGATGAACTGCATCATGCCCATTGCCTGATGGAAAACCCAGGGGCTGCTGTGGAACCCCAGCGCCCAGATGGTCCTTCTGCCCTTTCAAACCTCCCCTGCTTGCAGAAGGGACCCCAGAGCACTTGTGAGCCTTGGTTTGCCCCCTGTCTCCATCTCTGGATGCAGGGGAGATGCCCTGAGCCTTGTCCTTGGCCGCAGGGCCTGGATGGAGGACACCAGAGCAGGGGACAGAGGTGGAAGGTGCTTTCCAGCATGCAAAGTGAGCCCCACGTGTTCCCCAGTTACCTTGGCTCGCTCCAGGCTTTTTCTTTGCTCATGGAATGTGGGTTGGCTTTTCAGTGCTGCAACAGGAGAGAAAGAAAGAGGAGCAGTCAGCACAGGAGCGCGGGGAGCAGCCACCGGGACACCCAGCACCAGCAATTTAATGAGTGCTATAAAAATAGCAACACCCACTAGCCCTTCTCTTTCTTGTGCTGACTAAAAATAACTCGGGGAAGCTCTGGGAAATCCCGTGCTCCCAGCCAGCCCCCGGGGAGAGAGCAGAGGGGTGAGGAGCGCGGGAGGCAGGAGGGCAGGGAAAGGGTGAAGCCTGGAAACGCGACGTGCTGCGTGGGACATGGCAGGGAGCAGCCCCAGCTCCTCCCTGCAGTGCATCCTGCAGCTTATGGGAGGCAACCACCAGCCCCAGAAGACAGAGGTGGGAAGAGAGGACTTGGCCTGCAAGCAAAAGCTGCAGGTGGTTGAGCCTGGAGGCCAGCAGGAAAACCAAAAAGACCTGCCTTGCCTGCTGGGGCCATGTGGGCTCAGCCTCCAGCAAGGGTGTTTCAAGGCAAGACCCCAGGGTTGTGGTCCTTCCTCCCTGTTCCATCACTGACTACCCTCCATCTCCTCTAGGTTCCCTCTCACTGGACATGTGTCCTGTTCTCCCACCCAGAAGCATCTGTGTGATGTGGGGGCTCCCTGAGCAGCTGCCCAGCCAGGTACCAGGCAGCAGGTCATGCTCTCAGCATCTCCTGACACCAAGGAAGACTAACCCAGAGGGGCTCCCAAAGGCAATTCAATCATCTCTGGCTCTTGGAACAGTGAACACCAGTCCCATGGAACAGTCTGTCCTGCAGTCATGGAGGACCTTGCACATTTCCTTGCTGACCCTTGTTTGGTAGAAATTCAAGCAGAATTTGCACAATGAAGGGGTTAATACTTCCCAGATCCTGCAAAAATTCTTTCCCAGCTTTGTAAGCAAGCAAAATCCACTGTTCCCACTGGGACAGGGCAGGGGAAGGTGTCCTGACCCACACAAACAGTCTGCTCCAACTCCTTTGGCAACAGGAATTCTCTTTCCATCTTCTGAATGGAATCCAATAAGGACAGACATAATTTTCACACAGGACATCCTCCTTCAGAGAAGCCTGAGGGCAGCCAGGAAATGTCTGGAGACCCTCTGAACTGGCTTTTGGTAGGTCAACACCCAGGACAACCTCCCTAACCTCCAGTGAATGGTGGTAAAACCTGGGAGGCACGTTCCTGCTCCTCCCGCTTGGAAAGCAGACACACAGACAAGCCAGCAGGACTGTGCCATGCTCTGGTGAGCAGCCAGGGGGACTTGTGACAGCTGGATTCATCAGAAGGAAAATAAAATGGTGCACATTGAGAAGATGAAGTTAGCAAGAGAGATGACTTTACAGCCCTGCTCACTGTGAAGCACTGACACTGGGAGGGTGCTGTGGGCACTGACCAGTCACTGTGCTACTCCAGAGGAAAATGGTGCAGAATTTATGCATTTACCAAGATTGTTTGGAGGAATTATGTGGCTGCTGCAGCTTGTATTAGTCTGCAAAACAAATAAAGACATGGCTAGCACTGGTTATTCAGATAACTTGTCAGGGGATGATGACACATCAGCCTGGAATGGCTGAGGGTCTGGAGCCCACAGGGCAGAGCTGCTGTGCTTGGTGGTGAGAATCTTGGACCTGTTCCCCAGGGTTGGAGTTAGAGGATGAGGTGGTGGCTGCCTACAGCAAGAGGGTCTTCCCTTCCCATGCAGCTGTTTCTGCAGCCAGCACAGTAGGGGGAACCTTGCTTTGAGGAACCCTTTCCCCTGCCAGTTGCCTGCCTCACTTTCTGGGTAGGGCCTGGGGCAGGTGCCTGTGCAGGTCTGGAGAAAGGGTTGGTCCATGCTCAGCCCTACAACCTGAGCCTCTGCAGGTGACCTCACTTGCTCTTGATTTAAAATGCTGTTGCTGGGTCCGTACCAGTTTCACTAGGAAAATAGAACTGCATATGTTGTTGCATGAACTGGGAGCTTCCTCCTCAGTGAGGCTGAAGAACAGGGCAGGCTCTGCTTTCTCCTGCCCTCCTGTGCCTCAGGAGTATGGCCACAGCCCAAGGAACACAGATCCCCCTTGGCTTTCAGAGGATCCTCCACACAGAGTCATGGGGCTGAAGGAACCCACAGGCTGCCCTTGCCCACCAGCCTGAACTTGTCTGAATTATCTACAGCCTGTCTCAGTGGCACTGATTGTTGTGCCAGCAAGCTGTTCAGTTTACCACCTGCAAACATCTGACAACCAGAGTCACCACCTTCTGCTCCTGAGCATCTTCCTACAGGCAGTCCTGCCATCCTGTGCTGAGGCCACCTGAAGGTCTCACACTTCTCAGAGGAGCATCCAAGCAAGTGTGAACAGAGCTCAGGAATGCAATGGCCTTCCTCTTTTCCAGTCAAAACAAACACAGCCTAGGCTTTGGGAGGAATATTGATCTCCCTGCTCAGGTAACACTGACACTTCTCCCTGTGCTCTTCTCTGGATACCAAATCCCAGCCAGCTTCCTCAAACTTCCTCCAGGATTTCATGTGGACTGTGTCACAGAGCCAGTGCAGCAGGCTCTGCCTGTAGCCACCAGCTCCCCTTCCAGCAAGGGCTTCTTTGAGCTCTCAAAGCTTTTGTCCAATCCTGTTCTGTTACTCTCACCTTCCTGCTCTTTTCTGGTCTCTGTATAAATTGGATCAGTTAAAAAAAACCCAAAGTTTCTCTGTCCTGGGATTCCATCAGCAGAAAACCTATGCAACAGGTTGACACCAATCCTTGTGCAAAATCTATCAGATTTTGGGAATGTGGGATCAGGAACATGCTCCAAGCCTGGTACCAAACCTGGCTTTCACCATCTCTTCTCCCTCCAGAAGGGCTGTTCTCAGTCACCAAGGGTTACAGCTCTATGGGTTCATTTCTCACCCTCCTGCAACACATGGGAGCTGAGATCCTGTCCTGGTGCACCTCCCAGAGCTCACCTGCTGGTCCTCAGAGCTAACAGGGCCTGAGGATGTGATGTGTGGTTAAACAAACAGGAATGACTGCACATGTCCAAGTCCAGGGGAAGCTGCCTGGGGCTCCTTGTATTAAACACTAATATCTGACACTTCCTCCTGAGGGCAAATTCAGCAGTTAAACTTTGCACATTTGCTTTTGTAATACCAAAAGTGCCTTTTCTTCTATTACTTTCAGAGCATGAACTGTGCTCAAGCTTTCCAAAATGACCTTCATAGAATCATTAAGGTTGCAAGAGACCTTAAAGATCACCAAGCTCCAACCCCCCTACCATGTGCAAGGAACCCTCCCACTAGATCAGGTTGCACAAAACCTCATCCAACCTGGCCTTAAAAACCTCCAGAGATGGGGCATCTACAACCTCCCTGGGCAACCCAGCTCAGCTCCTCACCATCCACCATCACCATAGGAAGAATTTCTTCCTAATATCCAACCTAAATCTTCCCTCTCTCAGTTTAAAACCATCCCCCCTTGTCCTGTCAGTGTCTTCTCTGATGAAGAGAAGTCCTTCTTGAACAGAAACCAGGCTGCAAAATGTCAGCCTAGAAGCTGGGAGTGCAAAGCAGTGACAGGACAACACCTTTCAGTTGCCATCAAATAAACTGGGCCTAATCTGAGGTCTGCAAGGTGTTAAATGTCTCAATATTTTGCTTGAAGCTCCAGCTGCTGGAGTCCTGTGATTGAAATGCTCACCCTTGGGTGGGAGGCAGGGAAAAATTCAAATGTTTGGACAAATAAACAGAAGGAAAATGAAAAGAACCTGCATTTATCAGGTCTGGGATCAGTTTGGGATCATGATTTTTGTCCTGCTCAAGTTTTCTTAATTCCTGATGCTGGCAATACTGTTCTGAGGAGGTGTCTGTTGCTGGCTACCTTGACAGAATCCTTCAGGAAGGCAGAGGGATGGGCAGGGGGCAGCCAGAGGAGCTACAGCCACACTCCTAGTGACTTCTTGTTCTGCTGTTTAGACAAGAGCTGCATCACAGTCTGTAAGGTCACCCAGGAGAGACCCAAGTGACAGAGCCTTTGGAAAGGTGTGATCTTAGGAGGGGCCCTTGCTGAGACAGAAAGGATGATCCTCTGCTTTGGTCCCAGATAATCAGGGATTCATGGAGCCTGAGCCATGTGAGGTTGGAGGTGCCCACAGAGCAGGGCTGAGCTCCCTTCACCATTTTGCCAGTGGTGCTACAGGTGTCATGATGCACCCACATGCTTGTTCTGCTACTGTGGGACAGGGGGCAATGCAGCTGAATGTTTGGATGGCAACCCCTCGGCATCTCTCCTGCCTTCACTTGGAGCATGACAACCTGTGCAGCACCAGGGACCACGGTATTTCCACAAGGCAGGAAGCAAAGTCCTCCCTGGCACCCACCTGCTCGGAGCAGGGCAGGTCTGAGCAGGCAGCTGGTGCCACCCAGTGCCCCAGAGGTGCCCAAGGTGAACACAACCCCTCTGAGCCAGGAGTGGCTGGAAAAAGCAGAGAAGGTACTCACGGGGCATGATGCCTTGGTCTGCCAGCTGCTCACGGGTCCTTCTCTGCTGGAGCCGAAGCTGTAAAACTGAGAGAGAGAGAGTCAGGGAAGCTGCAGGATTTCATGGATACATCTGCCAGGGACAATGGGTTGGGGGTCTGTGTGTGGCACAGAGCTCTGGCACTGATCCCTGCTGCTGCTGGACCAGCCTTGCTGCAGCAGAGCTATAAGGACTGTCAAGGAGGGGCTGTCTAGGCTGCACCCACTCACCCCTGCCTGCACCCACCCATCCCTGCCTGCACCCACCCCTGTCTGCTGCAGAGGGACGGGCAGGACAGGGCTGCCCCTGGTGCACAGCACCCTGGAGCCTGGGGCAGGCTGATCCTTGACTGGCACCTGGACCAGCAGCCTCAGATGACCGTGGCTGCAGCTCACATCGTTGCTCAGCTCTGAACCCTGCAGCTGGGAGGTCCCCCCTCACCCCAGCACTGTGGGTTGAGCAGAGCTTTCCAACTCCATCACCCTCCTGAGGGCCTGGCAGCACATCTCCACCCTTGCAAGGCTTGGCACTGGATGCAGACACACTTCGTCTGCCCAGGAGGGTGTAGCTAATTGGGTAAGGAGAGATAAGTGCCATCTCTGTATGAACCACCAAGGACCTGCAGTCTCCAGTGCACCTTCCCTTTAAAACCTGCCAGATGGGAATGAACCACTGATCAGGCTGACAAAATGGCTTTAGTGGCACAGCCTCAGCTACAGAGCATGAGCTGGGTGTCTCAGATGCACCTCCCAAGATCTAGAGCAGGCAGGGACAGCCCAGCAGGCAGGGTCAGCCCACTCATGCCAGGCTCTGGAGCCCTGTACAGGACTGCACGGCTTAATTCATCTCCTTGCTCACTGCACCTTTGTGTTTGCAAATTTATCTCCAAGATTGGCAAGGTATCACAAGGTAAAACATCAAAGTCACTTCTGTATTTTCCTGCTGGAAACCAGGCACAGGTTGCCACCAGGACCTGTGTTTTTCAGCAGACACAATATAACTGCACACAACAGAACAGCCCTGGGCTGCATCCCATAGCTGCCTGAGAGAAGGAAGAAGTATTCCAAGTATTGGAAGGGAAGAAGAGGCAGGAGCAGCAGTTTTGTCCTCAGGAGCAGCCTGTTGAGCTCTGCCAACAGCTCAGCTCTGCAGCGCAGCTTCCCTGGGACATGAGATGGAGCTGAACAATAATCCCTTCCAGAGGAGTCCCCCAGGGCACAAGGCTCCCTCAGATGCCATTGCTTGTGTCTCTTCCATATCCCCTATACAAAGCACATCTCACATTCAGAGCAGATGTTCAGTGAAGGCCTCGCGTGGGACCATGATCTGCTGACACATTTCAGCACTTGTTTGGACAGCAAAGATGGATTCTTGCTGTGAGTGACAAATGTGGCCTTCAGAACTGGCAAGGTCTGCATGCATGGTGTGCCCCTTCTGCCAGATGGAGCTGGTGACTAGAAGTCAGTGGCTGCCAGGAAACCTGTAGCCCTCCATCACCCCATGGCACCACCTGGTCAGGGCTGGTTCTGCCCATGGACAAAGATTTAGACCCTCACTGTAGGTATCTACATCAGAGCCAGACCTCTGCATCCCCTCTGCAGGAGTCATCCCCCTCAGGGGACCCCAAAACCAAACTAGTCACTCCATGCCTTAGGAATGTCTGCCTTGCCTCCTTGCCTATAGAGGCAGCCTAGAGGTGACCAGCTCATGGTCCCCATGGTGAGGTGGAGCCCAGTTTGTGTGGAACCTTCTCTGTGACTGGTCACAACACTGAAGAACCACATGCAGAGCTCTGCACTTGTAGAGATGTGTCTTTGTGGAGCAGGTGAGCCAAGGGAGGTTGGAGACTGCCCAAGAATCAAGAAGCTTTGTAGCTCACCTGAGAATGGTTCTCTGCTCTCCTAAGTCCTGGTCCAACGTCCCAGGCATTAGAGCATCTTGCCTTAAACTCAGCACTCAACATCCCATCAACAAACAGGAACTGGAGACAGCAAGGACTTCTGGAGGCCCATGGACCACCCTGCCAAGGGCACAGCAGTCTGTCCATCTTGCTGTAGGACACCCCAAGGGAGGATTCTCCATCACTGCCCTTCACAGTTCCCACAGATGCCAAATCATTTGCACCATGTCATTGCCTCCTGCCACAGCCAGGCCCAGAGACCCAGAACACCCACACGAGCCAAGGGGATGCTGCCAGCCAGAGGACCATGCCTTCCAAGCCCACATTCTCTGCTTCTACTGCTTATTTCATAGCCCTTCCTAGCAGGCAAATAATTCACCAGCCTCAGGGTGCATGCAGCTGCCAGCCAGGCCTGCTTAGGGAAAAAGAAGGTGTTAGAAATTCCCTGGAAGCATAGGAAGGTGATGAGGATTTCCAGTGTGGGGGCCATAAGACTTAGCATCTGCCTTGATGCAAGAAGTGTTGACAACCTGTCCAGGTCTCACTGCCATAGCTCTCCTGTTGCTTGCCTGCAGGAGCAGCACACAGCAAAGCAGAATTCCCAGATCCTGCTGCAAACAGGGCTGATCCAGGGGAACCCACCCTGCACAGCTGGTCCCTGCTCTTGCTGACCCCCTCTCCTTTGCCTCCTGTGCCAAGCACTGCTGATGGACCATCACAGAGGGCACCTGATCTTACTTAATGATCATTTTGTGCAGGGCCAAAAGGTTTCCAAGTTGTTTCTCATGCTGGCAGATGTAAAGGCTGTGAGCAGCAGTGGCAGAAGCTGCTCTGAGCACGAGAGCTGAGCTCCTCCATGGGTGAGTGGCTCTGGGCAGGCCACGCAGCCTCCCCCACATGTGGGGTTCATCTTGGGCCACACTGAGCTTACAAACTTCCCTGACCCGTTCTTAAGCCACAAGGAAAGGGGGAAAACTTTATCCAGCCTTGTTTGATCAGGGGAAGCTGACAGAAGATGTGAGGACAAGCATGTCCATCTCCAGGAGCAGCCCCAGGTTGGAGCAGTCACTTCAGCCACTGAACATTCACCCAGAGCTGGACCCCCTCATGCAGTAGGATGCACACCTTGACTCCCAGGTATCACCTCTGTGAAATTCCAAATCCTTTTGCAAACCATCTGAAGAAACGTCGCTGGGGACAGATAATAAGAGTGAACATCCTTGCAGGAAGAGGTGAAGAGCCCATTGCGTTCTGCACTCTCCAAGTCAGCACTGCAGCCTGCAGCTCAGCAGTGCCAGCTCAAGGCTTGCACCTTTCCCTCACCACCCCAGGGAACATCCAACCAACCAGCACTTCGGTGCTTCTTGAAGGGGACTTGCAATCTGACTTGCAATCTGTCTGACCCAGCTGCATTCCTGTCCTCTCCCTCCTACGTGCCTGGAGGCCTGAGCTCTGAGCCCTGCAGTGACTCACTGTGAGGATGCTGTCACCCATCACCTAAGGGAATCATCTTTTTCTGGAATACCCTCATTTTTCAAGGAAACTGCCTTGCTGACACTTTAGAGGAATGGTTATATTACAGAGTGATGGCTGGAGTACCACTGATGAGACAGTCTTGGTCCCAAACCCCCAGCATCCTGTTTCCTTTCCTTGGATGGTGGGAAGACCTAGATGACCTTTAAAAGTCCCTTCCAACCCAAACCATTCTAAGTACTGCCAAGGGAGCAGCCATGCACACTAGTCACTCTGTGACACTATCATCTGAGACACTGCCTTGCTTCCAGCAAATCTGCTCCCTCCTGTGGAGCCCATGATGAGAAATCCCTCTTCAAATGCCAGGCCATGCTAGAGCTATTCCAGTGATTTTGCTTGTGAACTTTTTCTGTCAGAAAGAATCCTCTCTTCTGTCCTAGCACCATGTCCCACTTAGTGATACAGCTTCCAGGAACATCCTGTGCAGTGGGGCTGCATCATCAGTGCAGTGAAGACCTCCTGGCATCTGTCATAGCTTGCTCTGGTGGCCCAAGCTCTGAGCTCTGCCCATGACCAGCAGTCACGAGTTCTCCTCCTCCCTAGGAGCTGATCTCAGAGCTTTAAGAAGCTAAAAGGACTCCTTGGGCCAGAGAAGGCTCCTTGGAAGCTCTGAGGCTGCAGGAGGCTCTCCCAGTGTTCAGCTCAGCCTCTTGGCTGAGGCCATCACTGCTTCTCAACTTCTAACTCAGCACCAGTCCTGACAGCCTCTCTGGGAGTGGCAATGACTGGGGCAGATTCCCACCTGCTCCAGCTCTTCCCAGCTCTCTTAAGTGCTTTCAGGTGAAATCCCAATAATTTCTGCTTTCGTCCCTGCCTGGGCTGTGCCAGCACCTTTGCTGTGGTTGGAACCCAGTGCAATAGCTGTGCTCTCATCTCCCTCTGGACTAAGTCCCTGCTGCAACTAGCACTGATGGATGGTCAGACAGTTGCCTGCTGCTTCCTGCACCACCAGGTTCTCCTTGGCTACGTGGTGAAAGGGACCAGCAGAAGCACCACATTATGGCAGTTTGACCCAGATGTGTGACCATGATGGGAGTCAGCAGTTTGACAATCAACTCAAGCTGGCATTGCCACCAGAAAAAGCAGCAGCAAGTCCCTGTCCCCTCTGCCAACCACCCCAGCAGCTCATTCCTGCCCTTCGTGGCCCAGAGCTGGGGTCTTCAGAGTGTGGGTGCAGCTGAATGGTGCAGGGGATGGGGGCTGCTCTGCTGGGGCCAGGGGGGAGTTGGCAGCAAATTGGGAAAGGGGTGATGGAGAGGAGGGATTCCTGGTTTCCAGCAGCTGCAGATGATGTGGCATGTCAAGCAGCAGCTGAGCAAACGTGAAACGTGTTTATCCACGGCCATGGTGTGTACCAGAGGAAACCTGGTGACCACCCCAGCTCACACACTGGCTGGCAGAAAACAGCCCTGTTTTGGACCCATCCTTCCATGAGAGGCAGAACTGCTGCCTGCAATGGGACTGTCTCTCCAGATGGTGCCCGAGGCTTTCTCCTGTGGGCATGCCAGGGGGAGAGGAGCTGTGCAGCAGGAGATGCACTTGGGATCCAACTGTCCTGAGGTGCCAGCAGGGCAGGAGCAGGGCTGGCTTGGTGGCAGGGAGCATTTGTGTTGCTGTGGCTGTTCCCTGCAGCTGTGTCAGGAGCAGGAACCTGTGTCCAAAGCAGGATGTCCACACGGGCAGGGCAACCAGGAGCAGCTGTGCTCCAGCCCACTGAGCAACAGGCTGACCCTGAGCTGCTGGTGTGAGGGCTCTACCTGGGTGAACCTGTTGTCACCTGGAGCTCAGTGACAAGCCAGCCAACCTCCTGGATGCCACCACTGTCAGGGTGAAGCACTGGCCCAGCAGAGCATCACAGATCCTGCTTTCCTGGAGCTGCTGGTTTGCAAAACCACCTTGGCCAGGCTCTGTCCTGGGCCCCTCCATGGCTCTCAGCCCACTTGCTCTGCTGACAGCCAAGTGCCACAAAGTGATTTCTCTGTAGCATCACATCTCCGGGCCCGTGGCATCCTCTGACAACATGGCCTGTGTGGGACCTGTGTGGGACTTCTGTGAGCAGAGACAAAGCTCAGCCAGCCCCAGCCTGGCTGCCAGCAGCACTGCTCAGCCCTGGCACTGCCTCACAGCAGGGCCCAGCCCTGCCAGCCTTTCTCCTGCCCCTGATGCCCACCCCTTCAGAGGTGGGAGTGTTTTACCTCCTCCCAGGCAGATGTGCCATGAGTTTGTGTGTTACCCGGGGGCTGCACTGCACTGGAAATCTCATCTCCATTGGTGAGAACAACATCTCTAAACCCATGTTTGAGCCTGCAGGTGCCTTGGAAGAGACATAAGACCAGACCCAGCTAGCAAGAAGCCCAGACCACCAAAAGGACATAGGTTGACACTAAAGTACAAGCAGCTGGGAAATTCCTCTCAGACTTATGTGTCCATCATAATGTGCAACCCCAGCCTCACCATGGTCCTGAGAACAGGCTGTCACCAGCCCTGCCTGGAGTCATCCCTCCAGCATCCCCATGAGCAGCCCATCCATCCTTCCCTCCAGGCACACTGAGGTTCAATCCATGTTCTAACATGCACCTGAGTGCCTGACTGACAGACAAACATAAGCCTGTCAGCTAGAACACCAAAGTGTGAGATGCTGGAAAAACAAAACCCAGCACAAACTGATCTACATCAAGTCAGTGTTTTACAAAACCCCCATGAAATCACAAAGCAGTGTCATCAGTTACAGCCAGGCTGTGGTCTGAATGCACACACTGATTGTGATCTGCACAAGCTCAGGATCTGAGAGGAAACACACGCACATGCTTTATCTTTGGACACTGGGAAAAGGAAAACAAAGGTTCTGCCAAAATGCCTGGCTTAACACCCTACCAAAACCTACTCTCTTCTGCCTTTATTAACTCGCTGGTTTTGGTCCAAATCACTCTCTCCACCACAAGCAGACAGAATAAATTCCTCTCCCATCTCAACCAGCTTCATTCACTCCCTGTGTATAAGCCTGAACCCTTTTTCTCCAAAGACCCAGGCAAGTCTTCTGTGCAAATCACACCCACGTGTCCACAGTTAGGCCTGGCTGTTACCCCATGCCAAGCCATGCAGAGCCCTATTTAGAGTGTTAAACTTTCACTTCTCACCAATTATCTGAACCACCACTGATGTTATGCAGATGTTGGCCTTGTAAACTCTCTTTCCATGTTGCTGGACAGAGAAGGTCAGAGTTAAGGTTAAGTCTGCATTTGCCAGCTTTGTTTGCTCTGCCCGATGACAAAGGCTCCTGTTGCTGCTGTACAATCAGTTTGTATTCAAAGCAGGAGATCACTTTACAGCAAGGATCATCTCTGGGAAGAGTTAAACATGTTTCTGGAACAGCCCTTGGATGTCCTAGCTGATTTAGTGCAGTCCCATTGATAGTTGGAGCACATGGGATAGCACGGCAGGCTTGAAGAATCATCATTCCTGCAAAATTTGTCAGGATGACCTCAGATCAGCATATTTATCTTTGGCAAAACAGACAAAATAAACACACACACAAATCCTCGAGGGAGGGGAGGGGGAGCTGAAAGGCCTGCAACATGTTGGTTAGCCTGATCTGTCTCCCCTGGAGCAGTGCCTGGTGCCCTGCACTGGGGTAGCTACTGTCTCTCCACACTGCACAGCTCAGATGCTCCTTCCCTGTGGACCAGTGGAGAGGCAAGAGAAGGAGACAGCACTGTGGGACTTGAGGGAAGGCTGCTGGGCACTGTGTGAAAAAGCCACTGCCTCTCCCAGATCAGTCTTCCCTGGGCAAACTCTTCCTTTTCCTTGCTACTGATGCTGCCAGATGGAAGCAAGAGACTGAAAAGCTGACCCTTGAGTCACCCTTGGAGGGACAGCTCGATGCCACCAGCCTGCAGCTGCCACCTCCTTGCCCCACTCTGCCCTGTGCCACAGGGATTGAAGGGATGCTGGGATGAGGAAACAAGCAGCAAGTAATATATCTGTAGCACCCTTCCACACACACATAGCTCTATCAGCTGCTCAGTGCGTGAAGGTCACGGAGAAAGTGACAGCAAAAGTTGAGTTATTAAGATTATTAAGTTATTACCATTGGCCTGGAATCCTTCAAAAGGGATTCAGACTCATCATGAGTTACAGAGCACAGCTAATCCTTCCCAAACCTGGGGAGCAAGCAGCCTCACACCTGCCTGCACAAGACCCTTCCCAAAGCACTTTGAAGCTCAGCTGCTCAGGCCTGGTCCCTCCTGGCTTCTCCTTTGCTCACCTGGGCCAAGCTCCACAGCTGGGTGAGCTGCTGCTGTCCCGGAGCCTGTTGTGTCCCCTGAGCTGTGCAGGGGGGTGTGTGCAAGGTGAGGAGTTGTTTGAGATGTTCATCCCTCTGCCAAGAAGGACAGTAATTCAGAGCACTGCTCCTCCTGCCACGCTCAAGGGGCTTCCCAGCTCCAGACCCCTGCACATGGTGCAGGGACACCAGGGGAACCTCTGTCCCATAGACACCGCACAAAAGAGATTCGACCCCTTCAACCATTAAACACTAGCTTTCCATCTCTAATCCCCAAGTTACTAAAATCCCAGCACAAACTGAAGCAGCATTCTTGATTTGTTTTTATTCCTCAGTGTCCCTCTTCCCTGCCCAGTCCCACGGGCTGCCATGACCAGGGTTGTGCTGTGGCCACGTCCCGCGTCACCTGCAGCCGCCCCAGCCATGGGGCAGACATCCAAGCCCAACTCAGACACAACAAATAGGCAGAAAAATATTGTCCCACGGGAAACCTATCCCTCACAAAGCAATAATGAGGGATGGCAGTTGTGAGAATAAGCCACGAACCAAAGAACACCCCACAAACTGACTGCCCTTGAAATGCTGAAAGACACGAGAATTTATGGAGGCGAAGACCCACACACTTTCCTTTGACTGGAGAATCATTGGAAAAATATGTTTAGAGATCCCACTGTTGGTTCCCTAATAAAGCCAGCTGACAAATAAACCAGAAATGAGCCTTAAAAACAATAGTGGTTCATTTGAGAAGAATGCAGGGCCATGCAGCACAGCCCATCCTCCTCTGTCAGGGAGGTGGCAGTGTTGCTTTGTAGTTGCTGGAGAAAGAGTTACAGACTTGAGTTTTTTTTCCAATGAACAGCAATGTACCATAATATACCAACAAAATCTAAGGAATGACTTAATCTAATGAAATGTAAGATCAGAGCGATATGGAAACCACACCAAAGCCCTGGACCCCAGTTTTGTATATTTCTGCCAGACTGGGACACTTGTGTTTGCACACACGCTCTTGGGTTTTCAACCAACTGCCAACTTTGTATTTGCTGAGAAAACAAAGTTTAAGTTGACCACCCAGCTATCTAAGAGATTCTGATAACACCACTCATGTCTACCATCAATATCATAAATCTCTGATTGCATTATCTGCACGGGGAGGCACAAACACACACGGTGTGGGTGACACGCCAGACCAGGGGCACGTTCCAACGTGACCACCTCGCCCGCTCTTACAGCCTCCCCAGCGGCACACGCGGCTCGTCCGCCCCAACACCCTCACAGATAATATTCCCAGGGGAGAACATCACCTCTGGGAAGGTCAGAGAAAGCTCCCGGAGAACGTGGGGTGGGTTTTTTTTTTTTTGACATTACCAAAAACCACAGCACTAAGTTCTGTTGGTTAAAAACACGACAAGCCAAGACACCCACTCACAGACGCGGCGATACTTACTATAAATACAGCCCGTGAATAAAGGCATGAACATCCAGCAGAGGGGCTGATTTAGAAGCGACTGTCCCATAATTCACCTTCACTCACCTTCACTCAAGCTGAACGTCCTCCAAGAAGCCCCTGCCTGGTGCTTCCCCTAACTTGGGAGACACAGGCATGTTTTACTTGCAAACCCTCCGAGAGCGGCAATCAATTGTGTGGCTCCGGTTTTATTTCTCTGATGATGTCACTTTAAATACTTCTCGTGTTCCATTTGTTATTTTTACTTCTAAAAATGACGCATTTCTTCAAATTCATTTTTCTCCAATTAGTCACAACTCAGTGGAACAAAGTCAGGGCTGCCTGCCTGTCAGGGAGCGCGTCGGGCCCGTCTGCGCCGCGAGCAGCACAGACAGACCCAGGAGAGCACCTGGAATATACCGACTGTGCTGGGTAACTTATTTATCCCAGTGGATAAACAAGCCCTTTTTTTTTGGCTTCCTGCCCAAATCCCTTCCAGCAGGGCCAGGGCAGGAGACCCGGGAATTTCAGCTTTACCATAATAAACCACGGGCATAAATTGGAAGACAATGAAAAAACAACAAAAAAAAAGCCAAACACCCGAACAGCCACCAAACCAACAGCACCAAGAAGCAACAGAGAGGAAGGAAGGTGCATTTCTCCACTTGTGGAATTGCCTCTGTTAAGAGGAAAGCTCTGCCACCCCTGAATGTTTTGCCCACGTGCTGCTTCCAAACATTTAATGCAAAACCATCTGTGGCGACAGCTCGAGCGGAGAGAGAAGTTTTAAGAGAAATCTCAAGGTTTCCCCTACCTGATCTGAACTTGCTCCGGATCAGCAAGGAGTGCTCAGACCCCAGGAGCGTCATGGTGACTCGGGGAGGGGGGCAGGTCCAGACGCCCCTCACTTTAAACCATTAACTTCCTCCAGAGAGAGAAACCGGCCGGTTAGTGCTGGGGATTCATCCAACCCTCCTGGACTCTCCGGGTGCTTTTCCAGAGCAGCGAGCGGCTCGGGAGGATTTGGTCCCATCCAGCACTGACCCTCCAGGGACTGTGGCACTGATGGAGGAGGAGGGGTCCCTGCCAGCAGCCGGGGGTCCTGCCTTGATGTCACCGTCTAGCGGAGCAGCGACTATCGGAAAGGGTCTCAGCACAGACACCAGTTTGATATCTGATACTAATTACTACGGGCAGGGGAGCAGCCAATCAGGGCCGGCCCGGGGAGCCGCTTGGAAATATCAACAGAGCTGGAGTTTAACTCTTTGGAGTGTGGGGAGGGCAAGGGCAGCCAAGCTGGTTTTGGGGAGGGGTCTGTGTGGGCTCCCTCCAGCAGAGGAAGGGCTGGGGTTGGTGTCAGTGTCCCTGGAGAGGGGACAGCAGGTCATAGAATCACTGGCTGGTTTGGGTTGGAAGGGACCTTAAAGCTCACCTTGTCCTAACTGCCCTGCATGGGCAGGGACACCTCCCACCAGCCCAGGCTGCTCCAAGCCCCATCCAACCTGCCCTTCAACACTGCCAGGGATGGGGCAGCCACAGCTTCCCTGGGCAACCTGGGCCAGGCTCTCACCACACTCACAGCAAAGAATTTCTTCCTCAGTTCTCATCTAAATTCACTCTGTTTTCTCCAGACTGACCCTCAGGCTTCTGAGTCTTCCCTTGAACGTCTTAATTTTCTAGATCTCTGGTGTCTGTCCCTGTCCTCTGACCTCTCTTCTGTCACCTCTGTCCTGTGATGGGCAGCAGAAGGCAGTGCTGAAGCTGGAAGCTGAAGCAGCGAGCTCAGCACTGCCCCAGCCCCTTGCTCACCCTCTGCCACTTGCACAGCATCACTGGCCACCTTGGCCTGGCCCATCACCCAGCTCTGTTTCCACAGCAGAGCTGCAGAGCAGTTGGCATCTTGTGGATGTGCCATGGGGCACTTCCAGGGATGGGGCAGCCACAGCTTCCCTGGGCAACCTGGGTCAGGTCCTCCCGTGTGAGCTCCATGTTGGGTGCAGCTCATTAGCTGACAGAGCTGGGGCCCCAAGTGCTGCTGCCCCTTGTGGGGCTCGTTTGGGTGCTGAGGCACCAGGGGGGCTGTGCCCTGGAGCTGGCATTGAGCACAGGGCTGCTCAAGTGCTTCAGCTGTGCATGGCTGCATCCCCAGGGTTACCCACCTGAGATGCTGGGGCTCAGGTAGCACATGCTGCAGGCACCCAGAACACCTCCTGTTGTTCTGTTGCACACAGGCAGGCAGAAAAACACTGAATAAATGAGGCAGGGCTGAAGCTTGACACTGGTTTGGAGCTTGAAGCTGGCACTGCTCTCCGTGCAGCTTCCTGTCCAAGTGGTGTTGGAGGCTTTTGTAAAACTGAGCATCAGATTTACCACCCTGCTCCACCCATGGTAGGATGTTGGGTCTCACACTGTGCTTAGCAGCAGAGACATGTTCCTTCTAATCTTACAGACTCCTCCAGGACTACCAGGTCTCAGAGCTTTGCTACTAGTAATTTGACAAATTTATTCTAAAATCACTTCTGATGCTACTTCACCATCTCCTTTATCACGCTTCTAGGAAAGACAGACCCCAGCACACAACTGGCCCTGGAGATGTTACTACCTAGCCTCCACCTTTTCCACCTCTTGCTCTTCTGCTGGAGCTTGCAGTGGCTGTTCCTCTCTCCTTGGTGTGCTTTACAGTGTGCCCCTGGTCTGTCCCAGCTGAGGGCAGTGCCCTGCCCTTACCAAGCCAGATAAGCCAGGTGAGGTGAGCTACACAGGTGTGTAGGGGAGGAGCAAGCCATTAATGAGCTCCACTAGGCACCCTGCTTAGGGTCCAGCTGCCACTTATCTGTCTGACACCCTCTCAGAGAGCTCATTAGAACTCTGTGTGCTATTTACCACCCCGTTCAATGCAGAGAGAAGCCTGTGAAGGAATTAAGTGACAATGAAGAAAGCCAGGCCAGATGCCTTATCAACAATCAAACAATGCCTGATCCTGGTTGGGCCAGGAGAAACTTCTTCTGCCTTGTGAGCACTGTACATGTTTAGCCACAGAGTAGCCCATGGGGAGCGATGCCACAGGTCTGGCCTGGGTCTTGCAAACTGCTGCCTCTGCCTGCTGGGGCAGGTGTGGGAAGGGATCAGGCACACCTGGGCTCTGGAGGGGAGGTCATCTGATTAGCTGACCCCAGGCTTCTGAGATGGTGAAGGTTCAAAGTCTCATGATGCCAATTCTAAGACCTGCTCTTAGAAATCCTGTCTCCTCTCTCCGAAGCTGAGCAGTCACACACCATGCTCAGTAACACCATGCCACTGGCACAGTGGTTCCTTCTCCTCCTCTCCCTCCCTCCTTCCCTACCCTCTCTCCCTTTATTCCTGCAGAGACTACAAGTGTCCACACCTTGCAACGCCTTGGTTCACTGTCCATTCTTGTTTCTTAAGGGGTGACACAACCTCTAAAAAAGGTTTCATCACCACAAATGTCTCAGCTGCTGAATTCACAGTCCAGAGCTGGTGTTTTCCCCGTGCTGGTCATTACATGGGAGTCATCCTTGGCCACATGTATCCTTGATATCCTCAGGAAGCAGAGGTCAATTGTGTCCCATAAACCTCAGACTAGAGGCACAGAGGACAGACACTGAGATTACATCAGAGATAAGGAACCATTTCCCTGGGGTTTATCTGCCTTAGGTAGCCCAGAAAGAGTAAAACCCTCCACAAGGTCTTCATGTGTTTCCAGAGTTCACACTGCCCAAGCTCTCACAAGTCTTGGAGAAGCCTGCCTGCCACCAGGCACTGTGCTGCACCACAGCCACTGCTCAGCTCTGACAAGGTCAGGCATCACCACCAGCTGCCACTTTTCTTTTGAAGGTGAAACAGGCCACCAAAGACTGCAAAGACCAGTATTACTCTCAGTTCTCCTCTTTCCAGCTCTGCTTTAGGCACCTCTGGTGTAAATGGGGTCCTGACTGCAGTGAATGAAGGAGGGAGCCTTAAATACCAGAATAAGTTACAGTGGGGAATTCCTTTGAACGGAGAAGTCACACCCCAGAGCCATAAGGATATCAGTTCTGGGTTGCTCTCCAGATTCCAGGAAGCCATCCCTCCTAATCTTCCAGCTCACCCTATTGTTTATGGCACTGATTTGTTCTAAAGCAGATTGTTTGTTTCTTTGCAGATTTGCATCTGTGGGAAAAAGACCCAAATGAGCTGAAGTTTCTGTGAGATCCCTCTGGGGACTTGGAGGGGTCAGTGTGTGACACTGTGTCTGTGCCACAGAAGGCAGGTCCTCCAGCTCTCACATGGCAAATGGTCAGGATATTCCTCTCCCTGATTTGGGGCAGACAGAGCTTTTCTGAGCTGGACCTAGCAAAGCAGCAGCGTCATCAGAGTGACACTGTGAAGTAGAAGTGGCCTCTGGGGAATGATCCCCAGAATGATGCCAAGCTTGGTCCTTCCCAATGCTTATCCCAGGGCATGGTATTTCTTTGGTCAGGAATCTGGGAACATGGATGGTCCAAAACAACCCAGTCCCTACCTCCTGGCTGCATCAGGCCCTGCTGAGTGCCATCACACTGGCATTTGGCTCCCTTGAATTTGCCACTGGCTGCCCAGGCTTTTAGCTGATCTGTCACCTTCCTATCTCCTCACAGAGCCTGAAGGCAGGAATTTCTGGTGGAGATGTCATGAGCTCTTCCTATTCTGACAGCAGAATGGCCTTGCTTGAATTCGAGCTGTGAACTATTCATCACAAGGCTGCAAGCATCCAAGCAAGGTCCCTTAACTGATTAAGGTCCAGAAGAGATACAATTGACAACACAAACCCAAAAATACTCCTGCACTTTACTAAAGCTACTATTGAGCTGCCTGATGTTTCCAGCATAATATTTACTTCTTTGTAAATAAGCTAAATTCTCCAATCCCAATTCAAACCAGAGAGATCAGAGAATGAAAATTGGGAGATGACAGAGCTGTTTAAAGATTATGTACCATGTTGTTGGGTTTTTTTCCCCTAGCATAAATATTTGATGGTAAAACTCTGGCTGTTGTGTTTGCTGTGCGGGGTGGTGGCTGCCCTGTGTCCCTGCCTGTCCCTCCCTGGGCACTCCAGGCTCTGGGCATGGTGGCTGCACTGCCAGTTGTCCCCATCTGGCTGGCTCTGGGCAGTGGGCACAGCAGGGTCACTCCTGACACCCGGGCTGAGCCCTCGGCAGCGGCGGCTGCAGCTGCTCCATCATCTGCAGGGCTCTGAGGGCAGGGGGGGCACAGGGGTGAAGGAAGAGTTAAAGGCTCAGTGTCTCCCACTAGTCTGAGGCTGGGGAGGCCAGCAGAGGGGTGACCCTCTCTATGGGGATGCTGGCTTGAGCACAGCTCTCAGGTCAAGTGGGCTGCAGGCAGGAGTCCAAGGGCTTGGGGACCTCCTCTGTCCCTGCAGAGCAGGGGGAAGGACCAGACTAAACATGGCCCATGTTGTCCAGAGTGGTGGCCTGCTTGGTGGGATGGAAGATGCCAGGAGCTGCCTCCTGACTCATGATGGTGGGGACACCAAGGCCAGGGCACTGCCTTTGACAAGGGAACCAGCAGAGCAGCACCCAGTGCCCTGAGCACAGCCCTGGTAGGGACCCACAGGGGGCAGAGGGTCTTGTCCCCTGTGTCCCTGTGGGGAGAAGGACTGATGGGCTTTGCTGATTCCCCACAGGCATAACTGAAGGAGGTGAATGCAGAGTGGGACTGTACATTTCTGTATCTCACAGCTGGGGCAGGTCAATTTCTATTTTTTTTCCCACTGGAGAGGACATTTTGGGGATAGTTTTCCAATGGAACTGGGCAGGGTCTGGTGACTTGCTCCCCTCAGGGAACTCCTCTAGCACCCACAGCTGCTCTG